GCGTGCGTGTGTGTGACACGCCATTAACGCTTGTGTATGTATGTGTGTGTGCATGGTGTGTATGCGTGCGTGTGTGAGTGTGGTGTATGTGTAGTATAGGGTGTGTCTCCTGTATGTAGATATGCTATAACTCTGTGTGTTTGATGGATGTTGCAGGATGGGGAGACGCCGTTGCTGAGGGCTGTCAGACATCGTAACATCGACATCGTCAAGATGCTCCTAGAGAGACATGCTAAGGTGTCGGCTGTAGACAAGGTGAGGCTCTGCAGGGGCGCGCGCGTCACACGGAGCTTTCTGCTGTCTGTCTGCTGGCTGCTCTAGCACACACGTACAGCCAGGCTCACAATATTGCCACCTCGTTTATCGCTGCGAACTGCACTTTTATTGGGACTGTAAAATGTTATAGGATGATAAATCCTTTGCCTGGATGTCTGGCTGCATTCCTGTGGTGCGTGGATCAGCTTACGTGTGGTGTGTATGATATAAGGGAGACTACAGCTACTGTTGTAATTAATATCGTAGAGAGGAACACAGCATTACTGTGTGATGTAAATAGAGACGGAGAGCTCAGCTACTGTGTGAGATATAGAGAGGAGACACCAGCCTACTGAGGTGGTATAGAAGAGGAGAATACAGGCTACTGTGTGCTATGCTATATAGAGCAGGAGAACCACAGCTTACTGTGGTGTAAAGAGAGGAGACCACAGCCTTACTGTAGTGTATGTATATAGAGAGAACACAGCTTACTGTGGTAATGTAATATGAGAGGAGAGCACAGCTACTGTGATATGTATAATAGAAGAGGAGACACAGCTTAGCTGTGTGATATGTATATAGAGAGGAGATAAACAGGCTTACTGTGTGTATGTATTATAGAGAGGAGAAACACAGCTTACTGCTGTCCACCACCACAGAGAGGAGACACAGCTACGTGTGATATAATAATCGAAGGAGACACAGCTTACGTTGTGTGTATATAAGAGGGGACCACAGCTTACTAGGTGTATTATCATAAGAAGGAACACAGCTTACTGGTGTGTTGTGTATATAGAGACGCAAGACACAGCTTACTGTTTATTATATACGAGAGTAGACACAGCTCAGCTGTGTGCTGTGAATTAAGAGAGAAGCACCAGCTTACTGGTTGTATTAGAAGAGGAGACACAGCTTACTGGTGTGTGTGGTATAGAGAGAGAGACACAGCTAATGTGTGTGTGTGTGTAATAGAGAGAGATACAGCTCACTGTGTATGTATAAGAGAGCAGACACAGCTCACTGTGTTTGTATGATATATGACTGAGAGACACAGCTACTGCGTGTATGAATAGAGAGGAACGACAGCTCACTGTGTTGTGTATAGTAGAGAGGAGACACAGCTTACTGTGTGTATGGTATAGTATAGCTAGCGAGGAACACAGCTCACCTGTGTGATTATATAGAGAGTGAGACACAGCTTATCTGTGTGTGTGTTGTATAATAGAAGAGACACACTTACTGTGTATGATAACTAGAGAGGAGACAGCTCACTGTGTTGGTATAAAAGAGAGACACAGCTACTATCTGTATATGTATATAGAGAGAGACACGGCCACCAAGCTGTGTGCTGTGTGTGTATGTATATAGAGAGGAGACACAGCTTACTGTGTGTGTGTATGTATATAGAGAGGAGACACAGTGCTGCACATTGCCCTGCGTAACCGCCACAAGGCCATCACAGAGATGCTGCTGAGGAATCCCAAGGATGGTCGGCTGCTCTACCGACCCAACAACGCGGGGGAGACTCCCTACAGCATTGACGAAGCACACCAGAAGGGCATCCTCACCCAGATCTTCGGCGCACGTGAGTCCACCACAAAACCCTGTATATAGAGGTCACTCAAGGGCATCACTAGAAGTGTCCTTTATAGACAGGTGTCTGTGCTATGGGTAGAGTGGGGTTTCACTGTGTATCTTCAAGGGAAATGCCAAAATTGTATTTTATACACAGGTGTGAGATCTGAGGAGGGGTTTCAATGTATCAGATATAGCTAATATCACTAGTATGTTTCCTAGAGCACCATGTTATGTGAGGAGGGCATTCATGGCTGTTGCCATCGGGGCTGTAGAGAAGTTTGAACCCCAGGGTTATGCGTGGCTGTACATAGACTGACGCGCAGCCCTCACGTGGCTGTACATAGACTGACGCACAGCCCTCACGTGGCTGTACATAGACTGATGCGCAGCCCTCACGTGGCTGTACATAGACTGACGCACAGCCCTCACGTGGCTGTACATAGACTGACGCACAGCCCTCACGTGGCTGTACATAGACTGACACCAGGCTGACGTTGCTGCTGCCGCCCCGCAGGTCGCCTGAACACACCGGAGGACAATGAGAACATGCTGGGCTATGACTTGTATAGTAGTGCC